TTATTTAAGCTATTCATGTTATTTGTAACTTGCTAGTAAACAGGCCTATCTATAGCTGAAAATCAACCACTTTAAGTGATAATAATTAAGATAATGTCCTAAAGATAACCACTCCACATGGCTTACATGAAAAATCTCTAAGGTGAGCAAACACAGTTGAATTTTTCTCATTACTTTTTGATAATGGGATGACTTTGAAAACAGAGTCTAAAGCAGAATTAGAAGGGGTGCAATTTGCAGATTCCTTCAGAAAGAAAAGGTATTGCTTGCTTGAGTTCCAAAAGCTGCTTTTTACAGGTGTTAAAGTGGAATTTCACTACTCCCCGTGATGAATATATTGAGCAGCTAAAAACTCAGATGTCCAGTTGTGTGGCCAAATGGTTACAGGATGAGATGTTTCATGCAGACTTTCAGCACCACAACAAAGCACTGGCTGTTATGATTGAGGTGAGTTTGGATCTGTGGTAGTAGATGACATATACAGAATTATTCTCTGCTTTGAAAGATTCTACTTGAATTAAAATCAAATAGGAATTCTCTGAGGAGCCAGGGGTCATTGTTGTGTGAAGTTGAAACCTTAACGTGTATAGAAATAAACTTCAGAGGAATGAAGAAGTTGGTATTAATATTGTTTCTTGGGAGAAGGGAAAATTTCCTCTAAGAATTTCAGAAGGCTGTATAAGTTAAAAGTGAGTACTTATAATTCTAGGAATCAGCCAATAAATGTAGACCATCTTATCAGGCATAGCTTTTCCTTATTCTCTGTTCTTTTCTTGAACAGTGTGTTTCATTTTGCACAGCCTCCTTTAATTTTTTTTTTCTTTCACTTCAAGCACTTGGAGAGTGAAAAAGATGGAGTCATCAGCTGCCTTGATCTGATATTAAAATGGCTTACCCTGCGGTTCTTTGATACCAACACAAGTGTTTTGATGAAAGCACTTGAATACCTTAAATTGCTTTTCAATTTGCTGAGTCAAGAAGAGTATCACCTTACTGAAAATGAAGCATCCTCTTTCATTCCATATCTTATCCTAAAGGTATGGTTCATTGTACAGAAACTAACCTTATCATTCATGAGGAATAGGGCAGGATACCATCAAACACAGTAATACGTTAATTCTAAATATATCGTGAATGGCGTTAAATCCAGTTGGTGGCCAGTCACAAGTGGTGTTCCCCCAGACTCAGTATTGGGGCCAGTTTTGTTTAATATCTTTGTCAGTGACCTGGATGAGGGGATTGAGTGCACGCTCAGTAAGTTTGCAGACAACACCAAATTGTGCAGGAGTGTTTATCTCCTTGAGGGTAAAAAGGCTCTACAGGGTATCTGGACAGGTTGGATCAATGGGCCAAGGCCAACTGTATGAGGTTCAACAAGACTTAAGTGCTGGGTCCTGCATATGGGTTTTAACAACCCCATGCAATGCTGCAGGCTTGTGGAAGAGTGGATGGAGAGCTGCCTGACAGAAAGAACCTAGGGGTTTTGCTCAACAGCTGGCTGAATATGAGCCAGCAGTTTGCCCAGGTGGCCAAGACGACCAATAGCATCCTGGCTTGCATCAGAAATAATGTGGCCAGCAGGAGTAGGGAAGTGATTGTTCCATTGTACTCAGCACTGGTGAGACCACACCTCGAATACTGTGTTCAATTTTGGGCCCCTCCAAGAAAGATGTTGAGGTGCTTGAGCATGTCCAAAGAAGGGCAACAAAGCTGATGAAGGATCTAGAGCACAGGTCTTATGAGGAGTGGCTGAGGGAACTGGGGCTGTTTATTCTGCAGAAAAGGAGGCTCAGGGGAGACCTCATTGTGCTCTACAACTACCTGTAGCGAGGTGGGTGTCAGTCTCTCTTTCCTAAGTAACTAGCAATAGGACAAGAGGAAGCAGCCTCAAGCTGTGCCAGAGGAGGTTTAGATTAGATATCAGGGAAAAATATCTTCACCAAAAGGGTTGTCAAGCATTGGAACAGGCTGCCCAGGGTGGAGTCACCATCCCTGGAGGTATTTAAAAGACATGTAGATGTGGTGCACAGGGACATGATTTAGTGGTGGCCTTGGTAGTGTTAGGTTGCTGGTTGGACTTGATCTTAAGAGTCTTTTCCAACCTAAATGATTCTATGATTCTATATTGTGTATTTGCCTTTAAAAGCCGTTTACCAAAAAGGATTTTTGCATCAAGAGTAATTCTGGCTTTCCTAACGTTATTTAGACTAATGAACAGTATCATGAGACTGTGTAAAATATTCTGTATTTCTTCCCCTCCTTTTTTTTTTTTTTACTTTTCCACTAGGTAGGAGAACCAAAAGATGTCATCCGCAAGGATGTACGTGCCATTCTGAACAGGATGTGTCTCATCTATCCAGCCAGCAAGATGTTCACTTTCATCATGGAGGGCACAAAATCCAAAAACTCAAAACAGCGTGCAGGTGGGAAATGGCATGATGAACTGGGCAATTGTGAAGTACTCGAAATCGCTTTGTTTTGCGTATTGAAAAACCCAGCATAATAACATTTGGTGGAATGTGAGATTTGCCTATGTATAACATTTTATGCAAATGTTTGTAAGCGTTTTTAAAGGCTCGGGTTTTAAAGGAGTATCATCTTGCTTTTTATTTTTTGTGTCTTTGTACCTTCCAAAGATGCACAATCTGTTAAATTGCTATCAGCATTAAGATTATGAGTCTCCCTTGAGTAGGCTTGTTGTTTTAGTGAACAGTACTGGGGAGAACAGTGACATACTACTGTCCAAGCGACTAAAGGAATCAGTTAATCTGATCAGGACTTTGGAAAGAAATGTTTCTATACTGTACATCTGTCTCCGCTTTATTACAGAAACTATTTGTTGTGTGGTGTCTGTAGTTCAAACAATTCCCTAGTCCCCTTGAGAATATCTCATCCTGATATAACCAGAAAGTTAAATTATATACATAATACAGCATAGCAAGCTCACAACTTTCTGAACTACTTAGAAGTGAAGTTAACCGTAACATTGCTCATATGTGGTAATGGGAAATATTTGAAGGTTATAGGGATGACTGTCAGCTTTTGGATGCTATCTGTGTGAAGTAGTGTGAACCTTTAGTTTCTTATTTATCCTGTAAATCACCTGGAGCATATCTATCATCAGCACTGTGGTTGACACTTCTTTACAGTGAATGTTCAGGTCGTGCGAGCAACACAGAAATTGGGAAGGCTCTCTTCCCAGCAGCTTTAAACTTGAATGTGCACATGTCGTTTTCTTCTTTTAGAATGCCTGGAAGAGCTTGGATGTCTGGTTGAATCATATGGCATGAATGTATGCCAGCCAACTCCAGGGAAAGCCTTAAAAGAAATGGCAACTCATATCGGTGATAGGGACAACACTGTGCGCAATGCTGCTCTGAACACCATTGTGACTGTCTATAATGTTCATGGAGACCAAGTGTTCAAGCTGATTGGAAATGTAAGCGTAACTGGAAATAAGATTTTTTTTTTTTAAATCCTTACATTTTTTTTTTTAGGGTTTTAGCACTGTTTTGTTTGTGTTTGGTCATGGTACATCTTGCTGTTGGTGTCAAGAGCATTTTATGATGTTGAAAATAACTTGCTACACTATAGATCCTTTAAAAGTTAGTTGGTTAATTCCTGATTGTGGGATATATAACCTGAGTGTTCAGGAGTGAAAAAAACTAAATTGGAAGAAATATGCAAAACACTGACTTCCATGGGAATTAAATTTTTTATAAACAGTAACTTGCTTTATAGGTAGCACTTCTGATTTGTAATGTTTGGATAATCTATGGCAAAAAAAAGGCTATAGTTGCTGGGGATTCATCAAGTACTCTTTGCTTTTTTTTATGCCCATCTCCAACTGGTTTGCAGTTGAAGTCTGGTAAATTTGGTTTGTTTGCTTTATCTTACTGTACTCCAGTGCTTAAGGTCTGTGTCAGTACTGTGTCGCTTTGTATTGCTGCTATTTTGTTCTCTGGAAATCATGCTTTGCCATGTCATCTAACATGTAGTAGAAACTGAAGGTGGCAAAACTCAGTTTCCAGTCTCCAGCAGTGGAAAGGTAGTTCACTGTGTTGTGTACAATTACCGTGCATAACAGATTAAGTATACTGAATTCTAACCTGAATCAAGAGCTGTTAGACCACTTTCTCCTGTTCTATTGTCTGAATTTCTGGTCGTGGTAATGTTTCTGGCAGCACTTAAACTGATTGGAATATGCTAGATATGTTAATGTCTGTACTATTTTTTTGTGCTGTGTTATATGCCATAATGCATGCAAGCTATTGGAGGGATATTTTATGGAGTATGATAAGCAGGGAAGCAAGGTTGCCTTTTTTTTTTCTTTCCAGCTTCCTCGAATGTTGGAGTTTAATTCTCATGGAGGTGGCTACCAGAGAAAATAAGTCACATTAATGTTGCATTTTCATTAAGAGTTTAGATTCCCATCTTATTTTAACTGTTGTTGAGAGTGCAGTCTGCCTTCTCCTTAATGTTGCATAGTCCATTTGCTTTTGGATTTCAAGGTTAAGAAAAGAACTGTAGCACCTGAACCATTCAGTCCCTTCTAACCATGGCTTTCCGAGCTTCATTATGGTCCATCTAGTCCCAAAATGTATGGTTTATCACAAAGGTTTCCAAATCATAGGGATAGTGGAGAGTACTTCCCACAAAATTGTCATGGCGCTCTCTGTTCAAGTGTAGTTATTGGTAACCTTTGGTCCTGTAGGTAAGCAGATAAATATGATTCTTTTTCACTGCATGAGTTGGAGTGTTCAGTTGGCTTACCTTGTGTTCAGGTTGAAGTATGGGTACATTGAACAGGTGAACTGTTAGTAGGACCCTGGCTTCTGTGGCAGGGTCCATAGTGTTAAAGCATTGCCTGGGCTCCTAACAGGGCATATAGAAAGGTGGGTGGGGATTTTTTCTTTGGTTGTTTTCTTTCAGCAACACAGGAAACAATTAGAAATGCATGATAGTACCATAGTTTGAATTCAAGATCACTTGTTTCTTGGAAATTATGTGGGCTAGAAGTAGCTGTATTCAGTATTACTGCTTGTGAGTATGGGTTAATTAGCTCCTGAAGTAGCATCTGGCAGTCCAGAATGTCCCTAGATTGCTGCTAGGTAGAAGTATTGACAGTTTCTATGCTTGGTATTGGAGAACTTCAGTCTGCAGTAATAAGTGCTATGCCTCCTGTAGGTGACCAAGATTTCTAAAATCCATACAGCTCAAATTGAGTGAAAGTGTTGTGTGTTACAGCTTTCTGAAAAAGACATGAGCATGCTAGAGGAAAGAATAAAACGGTCAGCCAAGAGACCATCTGCTGCTCCAGTGAGACAGGTAGAGGAGAAACCTCAGCGTACTCAAAACATCAGCACTAATGCTAGCATGCTGCGGAAGGGACCAGCTGAGGACATGTCCTCCAAACTCAAGTACGTAACGATACGTTGTGGTCTGTAGCCTGCATAGTGTATGTGTTAATATCATGTCTGGCGATGTTACTTTAGTTCTTGTATCATCATCTTTTGCATGTTGTGAAAATTGGCCAAATAATATAAAAGAAAATGTCTGAAACTTTTTTTTGTCTTGTCTGTCTTGAAATCTTTCTAAATGGTCTTGTGCCTTTTTTCACTGCTTCTCCATGGACAGAATTATGTATCGCACTTATAGGATGTAAGTACTGCCCACTAACTCCTTGGTAGCAAGGCTCTTGTATCTTTCAGTTTCTATCTTAGTCATCCCCTCCTGAGGGTGACAGGTTTACCATGGCCAGTTCTAGGTTATTTGCAGGTCTCTGACTTAAAGAAAAGAAACCAAAAAAATGTTTTCCTGCCAAGGTGACTATAGACCAAACTGCAGGCAGACATGGCACTTCCATGTTAGGCAGCTGTTAGAAATACTGGGAGACTTTCCTGTGTGTTATGTTAAATTTGGTGTTGATTGGACCCTATTCATAACATGTTAGGGCAGACATACAGCACAGAATTGGATGAGCTTGTGTGAATCATAGAGCCTGGTACAACAGTACCAGAAACAAAAAGCTCAGAAAGAGTATTCTTTGCCACCTGCTCATTACCTTGGAATAAAAGTCCCTGTTGAGAACTATGTATTAGAACATTTCTTAGAAAAAGCTAATATGCAGCACAAGTCATGTGAGACACAGGGAGTCCTAGGTTCAGATGAGCTTGCAAGGTTGCTGTATACATATGCATCCTATCCATTTAAAAAAAAAAAAAAAGCCACTCATGAACTTTAACGCTATATTCCATTAATGCTACTTCAAACTTCGCTAGATATCTCTCAGAATGAACCAGTGCTTACCTATCACAGATGCAGGGGGTCTTGTGGTGGATTATAAGAGAAACTAGGAAGGCAAGTAACTAGCAGCTGCTCTTCTGGCCTACAAAAGCTTGTTTTACTAATGGCCAGGGGAAAGGCAAAGGGGGTTATTAGGGGGCTTGAATAAAATCAGAACTTCAAAATCTGTGCTATTCTATTGTGAGAGCTTTAGGGCTACCAGTGGATGCTAGTGCTAGTACTCTTGCCCCTTATGTACATATAATAAACATTTCTCTCCTGGTTTCTATAGCCAAAATCGCAACATGGGCAGTCACTCTGAGACAGCGCATACAGTTCCACGGGAATTTCAGCTGGATCTTGATGAAATTGAAAATGACAACGGCACTGTCAGATGTGAGATGCCAGCACTTGTACAGCACAAACTAGATGACATCTTTGAGCCAGTCTTGATTCCTGAGCCTAAGTGAGTCTAGTTTTAATTCCTAAGTGAAACTAATAGGGCTACTTAAAAATTATTTTGAGAAGCTGATTTGACTGTGCTAGCTTCTACATTCAGACTCGTTTGCACAAGAACGTAGTGTCAGCTAATTTGAAGAGAGATGTCAAAGCGACAGTCTGTTGTACTATTCTGGAATCTGGAGAGCAGTTATTTATAATGAAAATCCTGAGTTCTGCATGTGTGTGTTTTTTTTTATAGTAAAAGGATCTTGAGTTTGTAAATGCATCATCAATGTCTTTACAAGTAGTGCAATAGACTTGTTAAAAGGAATGATTCCTTCCTTGAGTATCCACTGTGAAGAACGTAATCCTTTTCTCTTGTCTGTAAACCATCATTGAAATATAGCGGTTC